TATAAATCTTTATTGTGAAATATCTTGAAAACTTTAGCCAACCAGCACCTTTATCACCTGTTTTCAAATTCATCTAATCAAAATATGTAAGAATTAACACATTTTATTTCGGAGGTCAATAATTTCCCAAAATGTGTAGACCAGTGTAATTGGTGTCAGTTACCAAGTTACCAAGAGGTAAAAAGTTGTCTGGGCTTAAGGAACCCTGAGCAACACAATGGCTAAGAAATAAATATTTCCCTCTTTATACATTGTTTTATCTGTAACGGTTGTCTTAGGTCTTAGGTATGTCTGTCACAGTCATTCCTACATCATGCATTTCCCAATTATTTTCAAAATGTATGTAAGTTGCAGATATTAAACAAACAACATTGTATGTGATCAGATAATACAATTAGCATTTCCCTCACAAAATAACTTCCTGGAAAAAAGTGAGGGAAGTCATACAGTATAATTCATCTAATGCTGACTGACTGGAGATAAGTATTTTCATTTTTGCTTATAGCTATCCATTACAACAAAATATTTACTTGTTTTATTTTTCTTCATTAAAGTATCTCACAAATATACAAAACATAAAAGAAAATACTACCAACAATTTTCTATAAAATCGATTTAACCTGCAGCTCATCTAATAAAAGACCTATTTCTATCCCTTGACCTCAGAAGGCCTACCTAGCTATCTCATGAGTTATCCAAATTTCTGTAGGAAAGGGAGTTTTCGTTTATACTTTCTACTAATCTCATCAAAAATATTGTTTTACCTAGCTTGGTTCCCCTTTGCCCAAAATATTAAAATACTAAATATCTGGAGACCTGACCAGTATATTCCATAATTTGTGGTATTCTTTTATCTGTCCATGTTCTAAGTATGTTCTTTAAAGTGATTAATATGAATATAATCAGCAAATTACCATGTCTTTCTCCAGGACCTGGCAGAAAAATTATATTATCCCATGTAAATGTAATCCATCTCTGCTGTAAGCCACTCAACCATACTCGGTTTCTATTCCACATTCTCTTTATCTTTTTGCAATGAAACTACATATAGATTAAATCTGGAGCAATCGTTTTGCACTTCAGAGATCATGGATCTCTCTCACCCATCCACTCACAGTATTTTGCTCTGGAGATATACACCCTATTTATCACTCTAAAGTATACTTCCATCAGATCAGTCCCTTTCCTACTGAAACTTCTCTCGGTTGCCTCTCCTATGTTCTTCACACAGAACAAATGTCCTCCATTTCTCATTAAACAGATTTATTTTTACCATATAGTGATCTGACAAACTGTTTACTTTATATATAACTCTAATAGGAACCCTTTTTCTCAAATTTTCTAAAATATTTATGAAAATATTTACTTACAGTACATTTGGGATAGATATAAGTTTTATTTTCTGAGTCAAAGTAGGTATGATTTTCTAAAAAATATCCCTATGAACATTTGATGTTTCTTAAGCAGAATGTAAATAGCAAGGCTGTAATAAATCCTAATTAATTAAAATGACACAAAGGTCTCTATAGTGAATGTATTTCCCATATTGTTACCTCTCATTACAAAGGATTTTTTTTTTAGCATAAAAAGAATGTTTGCATGATACCGATAAGGCAGAATTCTTGAACATTATGATTCCGTTACTCGGCTCTAAAATAATAAATTATGCTTTTCTGGCAAGCTCCCAAAACATGATGGTTGCTAGGTTTCATCTCAGTACCAGTATTAAAATCTAATTCTATTCACACCGGAACACATTATTATAAAATGATTATTTAGGTGAGTTACATATGCTGCCCATATTAATCTGAAAAAAACAACTGCAGGCATAAACTATCCTGAATTATTTTTAATAGGTTAGAAAGTAGAAAATTAACTGAAACAATGTTAATGTTCTAGGGATAGCTGGACTTGCTTGCCCTTCACAGCTGAGGTCCCCAGTAGGATCAATTATATGTTTTTATGAATTGCATTTACATCTTCTTAGTTTATCTTTTTGGTGACATTAGTTTAACAGATATACACACATTTAGTATGCAAATGACTTACATAAGTAAATTCCAAAGAATTAATGCCAAACTCTGGGTAAAAAAAGAATTTACACACAGCACTGGCTGATGTCACATCCCCACCCCTTCCATTCACAGAACACCTTGTATTCTTTAAGAAAAATACATTTTGTGAATGGGCAACTAGTGAGGAGGGGTGGGGATGTGACTGGAGCACTTCACTGCACAGGTCACATCCCCCACTCCCCACAGTGCACAGACGCTAATATGTGTAATATCTGGCATGCTGCAAGGTAAGATTTTTATGCTTTGCAGCAACCCTCTATACATAACATACAGTTTTTAATGATGATTTATACACCCAGTGTGATGTGTAAATGATTATTTTTTCCTTAGGATTGGCTTTAAGCGAATTTGTTTTGATATATTCTAAATCCAAGTCACCCACATGTAGTTATAGTGCATAATGTATAATTCCCAGCTATTGGGAATCCTTAAAATTCATTTCCACCTTTGTAAGTGATTAGCATGTATTGCGGTAATGTAGAGGTGCTGTGAGGATGTACATGTGTGCACATTTTCATGACTCAAATTGCAGGCTTTCTTCATTTTTAAAATAAACTTTTTATTAGGCCTTAATCCTAGACATTCAAAATTTTCTCCACCTCCACCAGTTTGACACAGGGGTCAGATTGTAAAGCATATTGTAAACAGCTTCCCTCCTCCCTGTGATTCTGTGTAACATAATCACGAAACACTAGCTCAGCCTCTGCACACAATAAACTGTCTTGGGGCGGGGGTGCCACTATGAATACTATTTATGGGGGGTGGAGCGCTCATTTGTAATATACACACATTGCTTGCAAAACACAGAGGCAGCAATTTCCAGATGAACAGGAAAGCTAACTAAAACTTAGGTTTCTGTGTTCATATACAGCAACTGCATATGCCTGCTTCATGCACACTCTATGTGCATTGCTGTCATGTGTGTTTTTTTAAATACCTCCAAAAAAGGGGGAAATGGGCTGTAAATCCCCAATCCAGGCAAAAAAAAAATTATTCAGTTTTGAACAGGGTAGGGAAGATCTCCTATAGGGGTGTATTGTAGATTGTGTTACTGCTGGGGAATTAGGAAAAGGAAATTACTAAAAAATCTCTGCTGATTGTGCCACCATTGGGGAGCTTAGAGAAGAAAATAATAGAAAATCTCTAAGTCGGGGCACAGACCGCAACAGAAAACATCTTTTTTTGTAATATGGAAACAGTTAAAGCCTTTGTCAGGTTGTTATTATCATCTGTGATTTCTTGTCATGATAACAATTGCTACCCTTATTTCTTGTCCAGTTGTCTTAGGTTGTCAGAGGGAAAACATGTAAGCTGAAAGTCCTTCAATGGAGTCATGGACAGCAATAAATATGTGACAGATGTTCTACTTTTTCCAAATCAATCCAAATATGAATATGTCTTGGATGGAGTTTGGCTTTTAATTATCAAATACAAAAGGAAATTGTAATTCAGATAAAATATTCAAACTGAAATTTGTCTACTTTGTTGCTGCAGCAGCCATGCTCTTGGTATCAGCCACTTCAGTTGTGGACATTTATAAATGTATGTTGTACTGAAGTGGTTAATGAGAACATCATCCTTCCCTGCTTTTTTCCTGCTCCCTTGAAGGTCTCTCCACTGCTTGAATGTGGTTTGAGCTGTCTGAGTTTATTTCTAAGCTACAGCTTTGTTTAGACAAATGTATTGTCTATTTGTTGTTCCTGATGGATCTCGCAGGTAGTTTCTGTGTCTCATTCCTCCATCTCTCGGTAGATTAGACAGGTCATTTTACATGCCTATTCTGGGTATGGCTCTGCCCTTTCCTGTGAGGGTGAACTCTATTAGATCTGTCAGTGCCTCTGAAACAAATGGCAAATGCAATCATCAATTCATAATTAGCTCTGTGGAAGGGCTTTACAAAAACAAACTTCCCAGGATACTCACCAGCCAGGCCGCAAAAAATACCAAAGTGTCTAACTACAAGGGTTAAAAACAGAGGTTTTAGTTGCACAACTTTTTAAAAATATGTGGAAGCCACACTGCCTTGTCAAGGCCGCTCTGGGTAGTGTGGTCCTAACTCTAATCTATGAGAGCCTCCATCTTGGAGCATACATAGCAAAACATGATTTGGATGAAATGGCAAATGCACTCATCAATTCATAACTAGCTCTAAGCAAGGTGCACATGGAAGAGCTTTACAAAGTACAAAAACACATTTTGTACACCACACTCAACAGCCAGACCACACAAAAACACACTGGCTAGTGTGGGACATCTCCGCACTGAATGGAATTTGTTTTTGCAATTGTTTTGCTTTGGTACATGTCTCCCAGTGAAGTGCCCAGCTCCCCATGCCCTTAGTTTGATAAGTCCTTGCCTATCAGCCTTTAAAATGGAGAGAATTTATTTTCAAGTTTTGCCTTCCATTCTCTACAATAGGGTTTCAAAAGGGTTTTATGATTTTAACTGGCGTGTTTGCCAATCGAAGTTGTGAATAAAACTCAAGCAAGTTAGCCCATCATTAGTCATGGGTTATTATACTTTGCTTATAATAAATGCACTTTTTAGGCCTTACATTCCATGCAAGATTATCATGGCTTATCCTGATTTCAGTGTTTTGTTCAGAAATCCTGTATTCCTCAGCTATATAGGACTGTTGCACACAGAATGTGTTGGCCTGAAAAGTTTCTTTTCTGAAAGTGCAAAAGGAATTTACATCCTGTCACATTTAAGAATTATTAAACATGTGGAATTTTTCTCATGGGATTCATGTTACACTGTATTAATGGTATTGGGAGAGCTGCAGGCTGGCTATGGTAAATCGTTTTTAAAGTAAGTAGGAAGTTGATTAAAAATTATTTGAAGATTACATTGTTGAGCCTAAAATTTAATTTCACATCTGCTGTGAAAAAATAAACAAATACCAAATTTCATTTTGTTTTTTAGGATATGAATGATTTCTCACCTGTGTTTAGTCGAGCACTCTACTGGGGAATGGTGGCTCCAGATGCCCTAAAGGGCACAGTGATAGTAGCCGTTACAGCTGAAGATTATGATCCTCCGGTAAGTCAGAGTCGTGTATTAATACTATTGTCCCCAAGTGGGAAGCCTCTTTAACCCTCATAAATGACCTAACCCTCTGAGCATCTAAGTTGATTATTAAGAGTCTCTCCCAGCAGTGGATCTCATACATTTCTTATATTTGCCAATTGCCTATCATTATGCTGCATTTTGCAGTAATTTCGGCCAATCTGAATACATAAAATGGTATTTAACTAAAACTTCAAGAGCTGACAATTCTTATGTAGAATAGTAGAAAAAGCCAAGTATTCTGCAGCAAATACTAGAGTTTTATAATTATTACAGTAAGGGTAAAATTATTAATTAGATAACATATAAATATAAAAATTGATTATTTTATATCTGCAGAGCCTACATGTCTATATATGCTCAGTACATATAATTGTATGCAAGAGTAGCTAGTTCATTTGTAGCCCTTTAAAATGCTTTAAAAAAAGAAGCTAATTATGAAAACAGTGGCCAGAACCTTTTTATTACACATTTACCACTGCTGTTCTTTAGTCTGTGAGTATTAATCATGATCCAATATACATATTGCTTAGGGCTTTTAGCCAGGAAGAAAGCAATGTCACAAGCATAGCAACACATAGCAAATAATTAGAAAATATATTTTGTTGTGTTGACTTTGCGAAACTCATGAAGTATCAGCACAGATAAAGTTTATCTAAACCCAAGAGCAAAAATGTTACATATTGCAGCTTAACAGTCCTTGGATATGGTTGTTGCAGTTGTTTTTTTAAATCATGCTTTTTTAACTTTTTCTATTGCATTTCATTATTCATACCCATTGATAGCTCACCTAGTAAATGCTCAGTCACTCTGAGAAACTAGGTTGTCACCCTTGTTTAGAAAGTATGTTAGGACTGCAGAAAATCTTCCCCTCTCCTAAACTCCAACAGGGGAAGGTGTTCTGTAATTAACAGAGAGGTCTAGGAACAATGCTAACAGTCAGCAGAGCACAGAAAGCATAACTCACTACATTTCTGGATCAACAAGTACTTTTTTGTTTACATACATCTTACCTTCAATGGAGATGAGAAACTCAAACCACCTTTCAAGGTTTACAGCAATATCTATGTATAAACCTTGATACACTTATTGTAGTCCACCATTTTAATATAATACATTTCCCCTCCTTTCAAAGTAAACTTGTTCTAGAGCACCCTGAGATCCCCAAATCCTGGGATGCTCTAATAATATTTTTGTGGTCATTGTGGTCACTTAATTTTTATCAGTTGGATAACCTTATTTAAAAAAAAAACACAACAGTTATCTTAAGTTATTTTTAATATTTACATGACAATGCAGTTACTAGTATTTGAGATTTTTGAAATATGGAATGTTGGAGTAAAAGGCACACTTTATTCTGAGATATTCAATTTATTAGATGACTGGAAATCAATATGCCTTTTAATTTTGAGAATGCATCTTGTAAAAATGATTTCCAAGCTAGTGTATGTTCCACAGACTTGATTGGATAAGCATTGCACAAAATACTTTGTAGTTAGGTTTGCATGGAATGACTTGTGCTGAATTATTTGCACTGTCTCTGGGTGTAAAGAAGGCCACAGAGTAGAAAGTGTTGAAGAACACAGTTGCAGTCTTTTGTCTTTTCATCAAGTTTCAAGAGATAGTTTGTTGTTCGGATATTTATGCTTATAGCTGATATGTACATTATATGCAGTGTTTAGACTGCAATCTGAAAGCAAAAACAAAGAAAAGCTGCATATATATTGAATATCAGTTGACAGAACATGTTATATTTTCTTTTAGGCATCTAATTATGTTTTTGAGCTTTTTAATAAAAATAAATGTTATTAGTTAGCAACCATTACATCTGCAATTATTATCAGAATTTAAAGTTCACACAAGCACTAGATGCCTCTCTTTGCAACCAGATAGCTATCAAGCTTTTACAGGGTTCAGTGGATTTTGGCAGACACACTTTGCCTACAGTCACCAAAGGTCTAGGTTATCAGATTAGAAATCTTTGGCCAGTAGTCAATTTTTCCTGGCAAACATAAAAGCTGCAATAGTGTGGTATTTGAAAGACACCGGATTAGTGAAAGCTGAAGTTCACATTTTACATTTTCTATCTGTAGCAAATTTATTGTGCAATCTTCATTTTCTGAGCTGTATTTAATTACCCCAGCTCTAGATGTGTATGTGTTTTGGACTTGCTCACAAATTTCGATCGTATCAAGGCTCCGTACTTATATCTGCCGCCTGGCCTGATTAAATAAAAAGTGCACACTCTGAGAACATACCACACTGAGACCAGTTGTTCAGAGTAAGATACTTCTGCTTTATTCTTCCGAGTAACAGCCTTTTATAGGCAGCTGCACGTGTATGTTTTGTATGTTTAATCGTAGCATTGCAAAAAGCATTCTAGCTTATAATTGGTTAGATCCATTCATGCATAACTTCCTTCCAGGATGTTTATGACTTCCGTCTTGGGGCTTGTCTTAAGAGGAGGTGCCATCTTAGTTCCTATTTCTAGTGCGTACTTTGGATATAAGGGGGAGGGGGTGCATGAGCACCAATTTCTGAGTAAGGTTTTGAGCAAGGTAAACAAGAGCAAGGGAGAGCGAAAAGCAAATTAACATATATATTACAATTGATCTATTGAGATAGGCATTTTGTCATAATCATACTTAACCACTTCCATTACAGTCCCCCCTAAAATGACTATTTCAAATAATAATTTTTTCCTATCCCTTAACCTATCACCTGGCACACACCCCGGAACTCTTCTCTTAACATGCATAGGGGCCATCCGAGGGGCTAATCCACTTCTGGTCCCGACATGTTGGTGTGCACAGTCAGGTGGTCTCTGTCCCTACTCTTACTAAGCTAAAGTGTTTGTGGTATTATATTTGGGGAGACACAGATTGTAATGGGGACTATGTGGACTATGTGTTCTGCTATTCCCTTAAGTGCATCCCTAGTGTCGTTCCCTAGTTCTTATTGATTGTTAGTTAGTTCATTAGACAGAGCAGTGCACTTCCATTACATATGCAAAAGGTGTTTTTTAGTATGACCCCCTCCTCCCAAAACAATGTTGATATTTATAAACAAAAGTAAAACCAGAATGTGCTATTTGAGTGTTATTGCTATGGAAGCCTACTATTCTCAATGCTATATAGCTGGCTGCATCAAACATGATGTACAGAGTCTTACCACTGCTTAGGGCCTGCTCACACCATCTCCAGACCATCTCCAGACCAGAACATTTTTTACCTGCACCAAAATTGCATACATGGTAATTCCAATGGTTTTAAATGAGGCTATTTCACACTATGGTGTTCTTTCCAGAGCATGCTGCAGTTTATCTGCTCTGGAATGCACAAAAAAACATGTAGCCGCATACAAACACACTAGAATGCAAACATACATAAAAATACACATACACGTGTTTGCAAAAATGAATCCAGATCTGGTCTTGACATTGTGTGAAGCACTTAAGTATATAAAAAAACTAAGGCAGTCTGTTAAGGGGTTAAAGTACATTTAGTACCTATTAATAATAACCAGAATTTCCTTTAAAAATTAATTAAAAAAATAAGATAGCTGCTGGTGGGTATTAAGTGCAAGCAGAGATTCCAATCCACCAATACTATGACTGAAAGTCAGTTGTCCTGAACAGGCAAAGCTACAGCACCTTCTGGTATGATCAGAGCTTGCCTGCTCCCCCACATTTTATCATAGTAATGGGCCAAGTGAAATATGAGGTAATGGGGGCAGGTGTGGGCAAGCTTAAAAACTACCTACACTTGTTAGAACAGGGAACAGGGGGCAAGTGGCGAGGTGGGTGTCAGAGAGAAGCTTTG